TAAGTGATTCCATCAGCATTTGTAGTAGCGTAAACAATGGGACAAGGAGAAAGACAGGAATCTTTAGGGAAGAGATGGTTTACATCATTGGGCTATCACTATAGGATTACCAGTTAAAATCAACTGAAAGAGGTAAAAGACAATACAAATAAACATATTTATAGGTAGGTAATAGTGCTGGTATAAGTTTCAAAACTTTATATTGAGCAATAGTTTGTGTTAATTCCTTTCTGAAAATATACCAACAGACTATTTCAGACAAGTTCTTCATTAAGAGGCCCATTGCACTGCAAATTCACATTTTGCCTAAGGCAAAGTCTTTATTAAAGCTGAACTACTTCCAGCTTTACCTTGCACAGACTCCTCTCCTGTACTGAGATTGCTTATTGTGATTTCATTGCACACTGTGAGCTTCTAACAGCGTGCATTAGAGGCTGCAGCAAGTCAGACAGAGCCAACCTGATTTCCTGGCTGGAGGACTCCAGCATCTTCTAGTACTTTCCATCCCATCCTGCCTGTCCCTTGACTGCCCCTTTCATTCATTAGATTTTAGCTCTTTCAATCATGGAGGCTCATTATCATGTGCAGATATACCTAGGGCAGTTTGCACACAAATGCACCCTGCCTAGGACTGCCCGCTCCTCCAGACTGACACCCACTCATCAAGAAGTTTTAACATTCACATAATTCATCCCATGTGCCAGCTCACTACTCACATCACGTCAATTAGAAGGAGTAGAGAGGCAGCAGGCTGTGATGTTTTCAGGAAGCTATGTACAGCACCCTGCCGGCCCCTCCTACCAGTGTGATCTGTCTACATTGCAGAGACCCAGTGACAATATCGCTATGTGTACAACAAGGTATGTAATGAAACTGGAAAGGTTTTGTTTAAAAATTTCAGTAGAAACATGATTAAGGGGGACGGAAAGGAGAACCCCGACACGGCAAATATAAGCAGATTAAACTTCAGCTTTAGGTTATTATTCAGGTAAAGAGCAGCATTATATAGCATGAGACAATAGACTCCAGAGTAGCAATAACAGGTGAGAAAAAGTGCAGCTCTGTATGATCTCCTAATCCATCCCCGCTATCAGAAGAGCAGTGAAGTTAAAAAACCATGGGCAGTACTGTATTTACTTCAAAGCAAAATGAATGGTTCTACATGACAGATCTCAGTATATCAATATGCTTACAGGGTAGAAGAGATCAGACTAATCAATGCAGGTGCAACCATAGGCTGTTCCCGAAATAAATAACAAACATGAAACACAAATGTGAGCCTGAAATGAGGGAAAATACATTATTCACTTTACAGCATTAGGTGTATTGGAGGTATTACAGTTTTGTCTAGACAAGGGCTCGTTCATGACATCATGGTAAAAGCACGAATCTATGTGTATAGTGCACGCTAATGCATAGCATCATACCACCTGCTAGGTGCGCTGGTGGTTGGCATTGCCATTGATTCTCAATGGGGCCACAACGCCCCCCCTGGCAGCTGTTATTGCGGTGAGAAAAAAGTAGTGCACACAACAAAAAACCACCCAATGGGAGGTGCGTCAGGGTGCCATTGAGAGTCAATGACTGCCATTGAGAACCAATGGCAATGCAAAGTACTGTGCAATAGTAGCATTTGCTAAACTCATGGCTCTTATGCGTTTACCATAACGCTATAGTGAGAAAAGATTTACAGGGTCCAGGCGCACAAAACTGGTATTCAGAGGTCATGCAGATGCTTCTTGTATGCCTTGTGGAGTCTGGTGATGAGATCTCTGCACGTGAGTTCCAAACTCCACCCACTTACTGTATTCCATTGTAGTCCACTTACTCCCATTATTGACCTACCTGTTAAGGAGGAGGAGCGAAACTACTTTGCCCTGCTTTACAGACTATGATGGGGATCAGAGCAGGAAAACGCCTCTACTCAAGAGGTCTTCCATATAAAACTGTGAATGATTGAACTGATATTTAGTTTAGATATTTAGTTGTTGGTTATTTTACCCATTAACAAAAGGGCCCCTTGAAGGGACCCTGTCGCTATACAAAAAAATATTAAAAAAACAACTCAGCTATACCTTTAAAAGAAGACAGGATGTAATCACCATTCATGCTGTCCATGCCGGTGAACTTCTCTCCAATGTGGAGAAATCTTCTAAAACTGACACACTTCTGAGAGTCTCAGTCTCCATGGTTCCCTGCAGTTCTTACGGGATCTTCCCTTTGATCTCCACCTATTGCAGGATACAGTAGTGATGTGGAGGTCAGCGGGAGGTATTTCCAAATAAATATATTGGAATTTCATTTGAATCCATGTACAGTAGATTGCAAGACATAGGCAGCTGATGTTACATCACCCTCCCACCTCTTAAGCCCTCCTATTAGTTCTTTAATTGTATGTGCCCCATTCACTAGTAAGGGGCTTAAAGAGAAGAGAGCCCAGCTCAACTATTAGTCAACATTTCCAGAAATCTGGATCGATGATTAATTCTGACTTTTTTCACTGAAACCTCTGCGTATGCATTTTTTTCTAATTTGCTCAGTCTGAATTGTCCCTCTTAACAGGTTTACTTTTTTTTTTTAAATGACAAATGAATTATTTGAAATGAGGCTTGCATTGTCAGTAACTTAGGACTTCCAAAAATATTTTAATTCTCTTAGATACACAGAGTTGTGTCACCTAAATGTTTATTATGCTGGTGAGATCCTATGCCCAAGTCCCCCAGTCTGCATACCAGCCATGGTTATTGCCGGGAGATCCCACTCTCTCTTTTTTTCTTTTTAAAGAATGTGACAGGGAGAGTGGACAAGTCACACCCCTGTTTTATGTGAACATCAATAGAGCTGGGAACCATGCTATGGAGATAGCAGCTGACTTCCAGATTTTGCCTACAACCCTACAACTACCTAGCACACTTACAACTCAGCATGAGATCCCTTGTATTTGTTTCCTTGACACACAGGATTAAGCCAAGTCCTTCTTTCCATCTGAACTCAGTCAACACATATGCTTCAGTATGAGTGTATGTTGTCATCTGTGATACTATTACATTATCTGTGCTTGTGTACTGGCCCAATGCTTTTATTGTCAATGGTTAGGACAGAGAAACATCACCAGATGCAGACTTGTACTGCAGGCCTGATGGCATGAATACAGTAGAGAGACGCTAATGTAGATAGCTCCTGCACAGGTGAACAGGTTCAAAGGCACCATGTCTGGTGACAAAGATTTGTGTGACCTGTCCACAAACCCAGGATGATACCAAACATATTTATAATGAAAAGGGCAATTTTTACAGTTCTCCATACAACACCAGTGACTGGGTAAGTGCTTGGAACTCTTGCTCCCCCCTCCCCTCCCTCCCATTAGTAATCAAAGTAAACATTATCTAAAGAGTTTTTAACAGTGTTCACATTATGCTGCTGGGATACAAAGATTAACCAATTTACAATAATACAATACATTGTCCTAGCTTTACTATCCTTGGTGTCAAATAGCTAAATGCAAGACCTGAAAGGAAGGAACCGTTATGAAATAAAATATCAAATAATTCCGCCCAGAACATAGAGCATTTCAGGTGGGCCCCATTATCTCTCTCCATTGCGGGTCAGTATAAAACACATAAAGCAGAAAGAATGAATGTAATTTAGTCTTCATGTGACAGAGCAGTGAAAGGACCAGCATTCACTTACAGGTGACATACAGTATGTTGCATGGGGGGTTCCATTTCAATAACTGGTTAATAGATTATAAAATAATAAATAGTTTTGCTGGTCATTTCTTTTAGCTGTACTGTTGTAAATATGTAGGCTGTCATCGGTGACCTCTCCTTCTACATGTGCTAATTGCCTGGCTGTCATGCTGGTCACATGACCTAGAATGTAGATTCGAAGTTCTGGCTTCACTGCATGCTTGTTTCTGATAAACGACTTAGAAATGATTGAAGCCAGATACAGCCAGACACCCAACTTTTTTAGACTGAGGTCTGCAATGGCAGCCTCTCCATTTCTGTCAGTACAGGTTTTGTTTAAAGCCCAACTAAACCTTCAATTAGCTTAAATCAACTAAATATATTTTAGGGTGATAATAGCAAAAGCTGTGCAAGTTGTTAAAGTTTGTTTTCTTTAGAAAGCAGCCACAGCCTTAGGCCCCTTTCACTTGGGGGGATCCAAACGGTCCCCCTGTCAGTTTTTCAGGCGTACCCGATCAGATGCCCCATACTAATCTATTGACAGCCGGGTCTAAACGGCCGGGTTTCTGTTTACATCTGTTTACCCTCGACTCCAGTCAGGTCTGGAAAAACAAACAGAGCAGAGTTCTGTTTCGCCAGACCTGATCGTGCCGGACCGGGGGTAATCTGATGTAAACTGACACATTGAGAGGTCCATTTACATCCGACCCCCCATAGACCGACATGGGGTCCAGCAGTTCTTTCTTCCATTACAAAACAGACATGGATGTCACAGTGGTGACATCCAAATCATACTGATCCGATCAGGAGGGGATCCATGCATAGATCCCCTCCTGATCAGCCCCTGTGAAATCAGCCATAGTAGAAAAGCCTGTTCCCTTTCAGGATGCTATAGATTAGAATCCTTGCACTCTGTGTGGAAGCAGTAGTCTCTTTGTAGAGGTCCAACGCACCTCCTAAGTCAGAACTAGAACTTTCCAAACAGCAGGGAGCACATGATGTTTGCTAATTGCAGAGCTTTAAGTCTGCAGGGGGAGTGTTGAACCTCTGCAGAGAGACCACTGCTTCTACAAAGAGAGCAATGGTGTGTCTATTCAGCATGCTGGCAGGGGACAGACTTTTATTTTTACGCAAGCTTTGGGTACTTTCTACAGAAAACAAACAGTAAGACTTTGCACACATTTTGTTTCCATACACATGAATTTTAGCTGGTTTTAAACTGAAAGTTTATAACCATAAAATCCTTTAAAATAAGCCGTATAAGCATATAATGTTTGTATCACTATGAAAAGAACAGTAAGTGATGTTTACCTTTGCTGTACACAATGCAGTTGTTCTTGCTATCCTCTACTCCTTGCCAAGTCACATCCAGCAGCCATTTAGGACCATCTGTCAGCATCAGTGGCACAGGGGTCTTTGTTTTCTGCAGGAAACCACATACAAGAAAAGAGGGGTGAAGGAATGTTTTTCATTAATAGACATTTTACATAATCAGGTGTTTCACTTTCATCTGTATGAGAACCACTGTAATACTCAGAAGATCTCATGTTATTTTCAAATGGCAATTTAAGATTTAATCGATGTGCATGGTTTCTGGAGGAGGCTACAGGTCACAACTCTTCCACCAGAAGTTTTAATCTGATTGGTGGCTTTGGGTTAACATCTCTAGCTGTTAGTAAGAACATGTTGATTCATAAAGCCCTGTGAAGCTTTGGCAATCTAGTCTAAGCCCTACACCCATTCCACAAAGATACTCTTTCATAGACTTCGGCAGCAAGACCTTCAGTCTCTAGTTCCTGTTTCTTTCTAATCTCACTGTAGAGACTCTCAACCTGATGTATCCTACCATCATCTTTAGTGCTGGAGTACAGTCTCATTCAAGTCTAATGGCAGCCAGCACAGGAAAAGATTTCCGGGAGAAGTTAGTAATCATCTGGGTGGGTCAGTGGTGGTGGTGGTGGAGTGAGGGGCTCTAGGTGGGCTAACAGGCTTGTAATCTAAATTAAGCTTTGAGAAAGGCTAATACCAAGTCAAATTCAGGTAATAACACCGCTTACATTTAGAAAAAATACATTTTATGATTTATTAATGAATATAGAACTGCAATAATCTGTCTTGAATTCAGTTTTAACTATGTATTGTCTACGATTAGCATTTTAAAAAGTTCAATGGGGGGGGGGGGAGCATGTTCCGGCTTTTTCACCAATCTGAATAGCTAAATTATTATCAAGGATATTTCCAAAAGATACTGTATCAGATCTCAAAGATATGTGAGATCCCTGGCGGTCAGGGATTACAAAGAGAATGCAGATGACTTTGAGAGCAGAGATCCATGTTTGCAAGTGAACTTTAGCTACATTGTACTTCATTATCAATAAGATCTCACTATTTCCTGAAACAGACAGGAAAGAATTCAGGGAATCGGTATCCATTTCAAAACCTTATCCGCCGTAACATTTATTTTCTAGTAGGAAATTATTCTGAATGAATAATGTAATTTTCCCCTTTCTATCTTCTCCGTGTGATGATGTACAGTTTTACTGCCGCTGAAATAATAATATTGTTAATGTTTCAATATGAAGTCTCCAGAGGCAGAGCGAATACATTTCAAAGCAAGGGAGTTAAGGCATGACACCTCTTGTCCTTTGAGGTTTAATAAAATATAAAGATCAATTTTTATTTCAGCCGAGGATTTATTTTTATATGTAACAAGGGATTGGTTTTACATCCCGTTATTGAATGATGTTATAACATTGTAGTAATGTACAAATAGGAGACAGTTCATAGCAAAATGGTGTTTATTTTCCACTTAAAGTCTAATGAAAGTGAAAGCATCTTATTGTTTATATTAAGTTTAGAGGGCGACTCGAGCCAAATATATATATTTATAGCTAAAAAGGAATATATAAAAAAGTTTTACCTGCCAAATGAATGCCAAAGTATTGTCTTGTGTTTCACCCATCCCTTCTAGGCTATGTATAGTATAACTAGAACAATAACACTTTTTAGAGCTTGCAGGTCTCCATACTTTCTGTCACTGCTCCGCCTTCCACCTGCCAACTAACACCTCTATATTGTTGAAGTCCAGCCTGAGCTCTATCTCCTGTAAACTACTGTAAACTCACCATAGGACCTATTCCTCCCACCCATCAGACTAAAGAGCTAGCAAGGCTGAACTAAACATATATTACACTGAGGTAAACCAAGGAAATACATTCACTTTGCAAAGATAATGTTAGCTTAGCCTAGTGAATAAAGTGAAGTCTACTTCGATCATTCAATCATGTGCAGAAGAAATGTGTGTATTGGTAGTTCTCCAATGTAATGACCAATCACGTCAAAGTGTTCATTGATCATATAAGGTGACGTCAATTTAAGCGCCTCTTTTAAATGCTCTCTTCCATACAAAATTGACATTTCAATTTCTGGCGGCATCAGTGATTTAAACCACCCACTGCATCATTTGTGTTTCTGCGCCTCTTACTCTCCATTACCATCCCTGAGCTTTGGAAAAAACAGCATTTTCATTCAACTTGTAAGGAAGCATGCAAAACTACAATCAGTTTTGGAAGGCTCCTCTTTAATGACATTCTGGGTCAGAGAACCAGCATGATATCCAGGCAGCTAGCACATTTAGAAGGAGAGGTCACCAATGACAGCCTACAGTTCCATCGAACATTGACATTTCAATTTTTGAGGGCATTTTTGAGTTGAGCCACCCAATGGCATCCAATGTCAATTATTGCCTCCAATGGTGCTATTTTCAGCACTGTGTTTCTGCCCCTCCTACCTTCAGTTGCAGTCCTTGAACTTTAAAGAAAGCTGTGTTTTCATTTAACTTGCCAGGAAGCATGCAAAACTTTAAAATCAGCTTTGGGAGGAGCCATTCTTTAATTCTGCAAAAACTGCTAGTAAGGTTAAAAGTAAGATCTGCTTTTATGCACATACAAAAACACAATTTAATTCTGTTATGTATATGTAAAAACACCATTTAGTACTTCAATTGTGTTTTATTCTATCTTTCTGTAACCACCCGTAGGATAAGACTGTGAAAGGGCTAGCACTGAGAAAGTCAGGGTAATGTTGCTATGTGCAGTGCTGACATTCATACAATGTGAACATACTTATAGGAAGGAGAGGCACGGCAGTGGCTTCATCAGTAACTTCCACAAATCCAAAAATCAAAGGATGTATTCCTCACTTTAGTAGAGGGGTCAGAGCCATGCAAACCATTTCTTTCTGCTCCAAAGCCAACTGAATCTCCAGAACTGCTGGTTTATACTACAAATAAAGCCTAATATTTTATAGCGGTCTTTCTCAACCAAGGTTCAATGAAGTCCTAAGGTTGCTCAAGGCATTGCTAAGGGTTCTTTGAGCATTCAGTAATTTCTCCCTCCCAGATAATATACCACTGACACCAATCATCTCTTCAGCTTTTTGTAAAGGGGGCATTTTTCCAACTCACCACCGATATAAAGGGCACTGTAACTATTAACCACTACTGTAAGGATCATTCTTCTTACTGACCACTAATGTAAAGATCATTCTTCTCACTGACTACTAATGTAAGAATCATTCTTCTCACTGACCAGTAATGTAAGGATCATTCTTCTCACTGACTACTAATGTAAGAATCATTCTTCTCACTGACCACTAATGTAAGGATCATTCTTCTCACTGACCAGTAATGTAAGGTTCATTCTTCTCACTGACTACTAATGTAGGAATCATTCTTCTCACTGACCACTAATGTAAAGATCATTCTTCTTACTGACCACTAATGTAAAGATCATTCTTCTCACTGACTACCAATGTAAGAATCATTCTTCTCACTGACCAGTGAACTGTAAGGATCATTCTTCTTACTGACCAGTATTGTAAGGCTCATTCTTCTCACTGACCATTAATGTAAGGCTCATTCTTCTCACTGATCACTAATGTAAGGATCATTCTTCTCACTGACCACTAATGTAAGGATCTTTCTTCTCAATGGCTACTAATGGAAGGAACATTCTTCTCACTGAGCACTACTGTAAGGCTCATTTTGCTCACTGACCACTAATGTAAGGCTCATTCTTCTCACTGACCAGTGAACTGTAAGGATCATTCTTCTTACTGACCAGTATTGTAAGGCTCATTCTTCTCACTGACCAGTGAACTGTAAGGATCATTCTTCTTACTGACCAGTATTGTAAGGCTCATTCTTCTCACTGACCAGTGAACTGTAAGGATCATTCTTCTTACTGACCAGTATTGTAAGGCTCATTCTTCTCACTGACCAGTGAACTGTAAGGATCATTCTTCTTACTGACCAGTATTGTAAGGCTCATTCTTCTCACTGACCAGTGAACTGTAAGGATCATTCTTCTTACTGACCAGTATTGTAAGGCTCATTCTTCTCACTGACCAGTGAACTGTAAGGATCATTCTTCTTACTGACCAGTATTGTAAGGCTCATTCTTCTCACTGACCAGTGAACTGTAAGGATCATTCTTCTTACTGACCAGTATTGTAAGGCTCATTCTTCTCACTGACCACTAATGTAAGGATCATTCTTCTAACTGACTACTAATGTAAGGATCATTCTTTCCACTGACCACTAATGTAAAGATCATTCTTCTCACTGACCACTAAAGTAAGGATCATTCTTCTCACTAACCACTAAAGTAAGGATCATTCTTCTCACTGACCACTAATGTAAGGATCATTCTTCTCACTGACCACTAATGTAAAGATCATTCTTTCCACTGACCACTAATGCTAGAAGTATTTTTCCCAATGACCGCAAGTGTAATGGAGCCCTTCTCCACTAATCAAATATGTTAGGGGGTTCTCCCACTGATCACCAATCTTAGGAGGCTCCGTTTTCCTTGACCACCAATCTAAGAGAGTATTTTACTTTCCACCAATGAAAGGGGGCACTATACTAAACGCCAGTGTATATAAGCACGTTACTGAGCACTCCAATTTTCACAGTCTGCATTTCTTTTCTGGCCATTATTTATTTATTTAATAATATATTAATGTATTATTGGTTTACATTGTTTTTAAATCAACACTTTACATCTAAACATAACCGGTTATGATGAGGTGGGCAAAAGGAAACAAAAAAAGCCTTTTGGCCCACCTCATCATAACCTGTTATGTTTAGATGTAAACTATAAAGGTTATACCTTAACAAGTATGTATTGTATTTCAAACTTATTTTTAACTGTTTGCCAGGGGTCAGCTATACGTAGACTGCAGTTCCCTTCCTAACCATCCAGTGCCATTGTGAATTCACTACAAAGGAAGAGTGCATTGTTCGACTGCCTAGTTTAACTGCATTTAGTAAATATTTGATAGTCAACACACTGCTCCTGCTAAAAGAGTTCCTTATGAATGAGTTAATTGCATTGTCTTGAGAACAGAGTAAGGCCTAGC